CTGTCAGGTAATTTCCTAGTTAGGAAAGCCACAATCAAACTGATGGAGGCCAGGAAACCGAGATAGCCCAGAACACAATAAAACAGGATGACCAAACCCTCATTGCATCCCTGTACAATTTCTTCCTTCACAGAATGCATGTCCATGTCTGGGAAAGGGGGTGAGGTTACCAGCCAAACAGCACAAGTGGCTGCTTGGATGAGGGAGCTGGAAAGAAGAATGGAACTGGAGAGTCTTTTCCCCACCCATTTCCTCATGTGACTCCCAGGCTTGGTGGCCATGAAGGCTACAACCACAGTGATGGTTTTGGCCAGCATACAAGACACCGCAATTGAGAAGATCATGCCAAAAGCAGTTTGTCGAAGGAGGCACAGCATCTTGTCCGGTGGACCAATGAATAGTAAAGCAGAGAGGAAGCAGAGCAGGAGGGAGATGAGGCGAGTGTAGGAGAGGTTGCAGTTGTTGGCTTTGACTATGGGGGTTTCCTGGTGCTTTAGAAATGTTCCTAGCACAAAAGCTGTGATTAAAGAAAAGGAAAGAGCAAAAATGGCTAAACTGATCCACAAAGGTTCATCATAGGACAAGAAGCTTACATGCTTGGGAATGCATGAATCATGGCTTTTACTTGCATAATGATCTTCTTGGCACTAAACACAGTCAACCATGTCTGAAAGAAATAGAATTGGTTCAGTGTTTTGAAGATTCACTTTCTACCTTGAATTTAGAATTTTTATGAAAATGAATAATTTCTGAACATTTGTGTCTCTACTTGTAGCTTAAATTTTGTATGGATAGCTGCTTAGCTTTAAGTAAGACATTTCAGTCTTTTACATTGGAAGAATGTCCGCAAAAGCTGGAAAACCAACAAGCAATATATTGTTGTGGAAAGGGGGAGTGGCCTTCTGGAAGGCCACACTCCGATTCCTGGGTACTGTATCTTACCTCTGGTACTGAGGTTACCCATCCCAAATACATACATATATCTGAGAATGCCTCTTTTTTGAATAGTCCTTCTGCTTGCAGCTAGTTCATTGACAGTGTTAATACAAATCGGCCTCATTTATACCTAATACTCACAAGGGAAAACTCAGTAATGGAAAACATACCTGTCCTTAACATTACATTAGTATTTGTATCATTCTCTTCATATATTTTGAAACTTCTGCACATGATGTCTCTTACCCTGGTCTCTGGACATGGAACACAATCATAGCAACAAAATGGCTCCCCTTCCTCATTTTGCCTTCTGTAACCAGGTTGGCAATTGATGCTACAAACAGACAAGGGTAACACCTATCCAACAAGAAAACAAAAGAGTGCCTAGAAATGTTCTTCAGAGATTTAATTCTCACAGTCTTTACTAATGGCCTTAAGCATGGGAAAATCACCTTTGTGATGTTCTAGAAAGCGCTGTGTTTCTCAGTACTTCCAATCTAGGTAAGTATCATGTATATGGGAATATTTTGTCCACTTTTTAAATTTTTGAGGTGGCTATTGCTGAACCAACTGCCTCGTCCAATATAAAACACTAAATAATTATTAATATTCTCCAGATCAGTGATGACAACATTTGGCCTCTTGAAGTCTGCATTTACTCAGGGTAATGTGTTGGGTTCAATGCTAGTGATGAATGGAGTTGAAGCTAGTCAGAGGTGAAGTAGACAGAAGCAGTTTCTCTCTCTTTCTGGCCCCTGTTTTGGAGGTATTTGCACATTTCATGGGAGAGATTTCTTTTCCCCCTTTGGAATTTTCATCTGTGTGTGCTCAAGCTAGAAGCATTAAGGCATCCTACTTGCCCCATTCATTGATTCATTGTATTGCTTTAATGTGAGGAGACTTTATTTTGAAATTGAGACAATATTTCTCCATCCAGTTTAAGTGTAAACCCAGGGACAATTAAACTTACAGAAAAGCTAGGGCTCTCATTGAGATGAATGTAACATTATCTAGTCACTTTTTAAATCCCTATGAAGTTTTCAGAGGGTTGTGGTAATTTTTAGACCTACTTAGAGTAAACTGATTTAAATGAATGGGACTTATGTTAGACTAACATTAAATGCAACCCAGCAGATATAATCCAGGGGTTGCAACTAGACGTGATGAAAAGCTGGGTGTGAAGGGGTGGCTTTTTAAATTTATAAAACCTTGCCTAAAAGATGTAAACTGTATTTGGCACATCCTTCTGACTTGAGTCTATATCCAACTTTTTATAGACTTAGTTTTGAGCCTGTGACTTTGGTTAAAATTGCAACAAGTCCTTGATGTTACCTGCACCACTGCACCCGCTGTGGAATGCAGCAGTTTCTGTCACACCCACTACCTGTCACTACATGCTCCCTGGTGTCAAGAGGTAAGAGCTTTGGCACCAGGTAGAGGAAGAAAGTCACCACACCTGCATTTGTGGAACAGAGGTGAATATGAAGTAGGACTCAACCAGCTGTGCCTTCATAATCTGCTTCCACACAGGGTGGAGCCCTTGGGCAGCTGCTGAAGGGTGACGGCCAAAGGGCATCACCTATTTGGCATCAGTATGGTGTTGATTTGGGCACTGGATTTTCTGCTAGGTTTACCATGGGCCTATTGTAACTTTATATTGCTGTGGTATCTATTTTTGATTTTAGTGTATTGTTTATATTGTGTACTTTGTTATTGGATTTGTACACTGCTCAGAGTACCCAATGTGGTAGGGCTATTGGATGGTACAGAAATATGGTAATGGTAACAATAATGATAATATATGCTCCCTGCTGAGATCCTACCTGGTTAAACCAGCTGTGCCATGTGATGGTATGCTCTTTAATGGTGAATGCTTGCTCTGGAGGAACCTGGGTATACTCCTTTCCAACTTTCACTTTTTGAAAGGAATGGTTTGGAAGGAAAACCCAATTTATAACATCAAAGCCAGCTACTAATTCTTCATTCTGGCCAAATGAAACTCTGTCCCCAGCAGTGTTATTAAATGAAACAAGTCTCAGAAAATGGTGTAGCTAGATTGAAAACAAAACACAGAACAGGATAACATATCCAGAAAGGAGAAAGTGGGTGCTGTGGGTCCTTCCATCATTTTCACAAGTGTTTCACAATAGTTACAAATACAATCAAATACATTTTTTGCTTACTAGTATTCCAATCCAATATCTACTAAAAAGGAAAGCGAAAGAGAAGAAAAGTTCTAAGCTTAAAAAAGAACTAAAGACTTTTAACCTGATTTATGTTCACATGTCTAACATCCATTTATCATCTTTAAAGACATCTTATCTAATCTGTTTGACAATTTCCTATGATCTTTTAAACAAATTTTCTTTGAGCTAATCTATTAAAGTTTCATCTAGCTTACACTTCACTTAGTCACATTCAATTAACTCCTTATAAGAGTCCAGCTTCTTACAATCTTTAAGATATCTCGCTTATAAAAAGAAATCTGTTTAGTACAGCTCCTCCTACCCCCATAATAATCATTTTCTAGTATAGCAATTCAAAGACAAAAGAGTCATGTAGCTTAGCTTTTGGTCGTTCATTTTTAAGATAAAAAAAAAGAAATGAATCACTTAATCTTATCCTTAGTTCAGTTTAAATCAAATCTTATAATCTCTTCATAATTCAACACATTTAAATGTAGAAAAGCTTCCACATTAAAATCATATACCTTAGCTTTTCCATATCACAATAAACATGCCAACCCATTTATACCATTCCTTTTTAAGACAACACGAAGGCCAGAGAGTCACACAATGATGGCATAATCCACCTCTATCACTGGGGATGCATAAGAAAGGAGTTTTCAATGCAGTATGCCTGTCTGTGGCCAGTGGAGCAAGAAAAGAATTCAGCATAGCTCCTATGGGTACTGGGTTTATGCCTTGGGGAGCCATACACAAGCATTTACCTCCAAAATTTATTTATTTATTTATTTATTTATTTATTTATTTATTTATTTAAAGTTTTTCTAGCCCATCCACTACAGAAGTCTCAGGACAGCGTACAAAAAATGACTAGAATAAAAAATGACTAGAATAAAACAAACACCACAGCAAACAACAATTAATATACTAAAACCCCAATTAAAATTGATTAAACATTAAAATAGCAGTAAAATAAAAAGGGTTTCTCCTGACATCGAAAACCATATAACATCAGTTCTGGCCAAAGCTCTCTGGGGAGCATATTCCTTAGTCAGGGCATCACTGCAGAGAAGGCTCTCCTCTGGGTACTCTCCCTTCTAATCTCCTTCACGGAGGTCTCCCAGAGCAGGGTGTCCACTTTAGATATCAAGGGGCAGGAGGACACAGAGGGAAGAAGGCACTCCTTCAGGTATCCTGGACCCATGCCATTTAGGGCTTTATAGGTCATATCCAGTACCTTACATTGGGCCTGAACTTCAATTGGTAGCCAGTGAAACCAGTAGAGGACCAGTGTTATATGTGAAAACCAACCAGTCCCCATTAACATCCTAGCAGCTCTATTCTGAACCAATTGAAGTATCCAGACTATCTTCAAGGGCAGCCCCACCTAGAGCATGTTACAGTAATCCAGCTGGGAAGTTACCAGAGTGTGGGTCTCTGTTGCAAGGCAATGCTCCTCCAGGTAAGGATGCAGTTGATGGATCAGCTGAAACTGAAGGAAAGCACCTGGGACTCCAGGAACAACTCTGGGTCGAGTACTCCCAAAGTACAAACCCTATCCTTTAGGGGGAGTACAACCCCATCCAGGACATGGCTAAAATCCTGGAAGCTGGAACTGCCTGCTAACAGGACCTCCGCCTTATCTGGATTAAGCCTCAATTTAAATGGGCCCTCATCCAGCCCATTACTTCAGCCAGGCATCAGTTAAGGAGAGCCTTAATAAAATAATAATAGGTTTTTTTAAAACCAGCCCCAATACTTCAATTTTAATATTGTGCTTAGTGCCGTTTTCTTAATTATATGCTCCTTATGAATTCAAGTATCTTCCCACTGACTTTTCTTCTTTGTGGAACAAAAAAGCTGGCAAAACCATCTTTGCTAACATTTGTTAACAGGCATTGGGATGCCAATAGGGATGATCTCTAATGAATGCCCATGAGAGTCTTCTGCAGCCTTGCCCAAACTTAAAAATGGGTACAATTTCTCGGTTGACTGAATGGGGATCGAGTTGATAGGGAAGATTATTGCAGCATTATGAAATGAGATGTCACCTGCTTCTCGATCCAGGAACAAGCCAATGACTTGATAAGGCACATCTTTCTTTTCAAGCTTATTCTCGCTCTGACTAGAAAATAAATCTCCCTGGACACTTCTCAGAGCCCAGCATCCTTCCCCAAGAGGCCCAACCAAACTCGCCTTTTTGGCCTTGTCCCTTTCAGCCTGGGTCAGCACCCCCAGCTCCCAGTCCAACCCCTCTCCCACCCTGACTTCCCAGTAGTGTTTCCCAGCAGCATAACCCTCTTTTCCCACAACAATCAGAGTCTCCACAGCAGCTCCGGGTTGCCCTGGGGTGGGTGCTTTCAGGCTGGCTTTTCTCTTATCCTCACTGATGATGATTTCTGGATGTTTATACTCAGAATCTAAGGTGACAGCAGCTAAAGGAAAGAAGAGGAAGAAAACAACACAGGAATCCATGAGCACAGAGCAAGCACGTTTGTCTGTTCCAGCTGAATCATTTACCATCTTAAACAGCTTAGCTTTGACTTCTTAGCATGACTTTTTGCTGAAATTTTGTTGTTGCCTTTGAAGGCACAGCTTTGCTGTGTTTTAGTGTTGCTTTTTACTTTTGCCAGTTTTTATTATAACTACTTTATTTGTTAATTGCCCACAGAGCTTTAGCAATATGACTACTCAAAACCTGAGAGGCAGAGTTTGGGAAAGCAGCCCTAGAGAGAGGTAAAAGGGGAAGGGGCCCTGCAATCAATCTATCCTAGCTAAGGCTATGAATATCCAAGTTATGCCTGCCTCATCCCCTCCTGCTCTGAGGCGCCATTGCTGGGTGGACCAAAGTAGCTCTCAGTGTGGCAAGAGTGGAGAGGTGGTGTTCAGGGGGTTCTGTTCAGTCCTGAATAACTACTCACACCAAGCTCTACTTTCTCCCTAGGAAGGATCACATCCCTTAACCATGTAATCGATCTGGTTGTATTGAAAATTTGTACTTTGTACTTCTTGCAAAGTGTAAACTCTACTGCGCATAGCCAAAAGTCTCCACATTTTCCCCATGCCTTTAAGGTTGCGCAGAACTCTTTCTTTTTTAACAGATGTACACACACACTTGCATGCCAAAAACACTTCATATACATGATCTCATAGAAACATAGAAACAGAGCGAGTCAGAAGGGGTCTCCCAGGCCATCTAGTCTGACCCCCGGCTCCAGCCAGCTCCACTCACGACATGCCCACCATGTGCATGTCCAGCCTATCTTTGAAAACCCTCATCAATGGGGCCTCAACCACCTCCCATGGAAGCCCATCCCCTGGGGGTCCTAACTGACAGGAAGTGCTTCCTGGCATCAAAATGGAACCTTGGTTCCCTGAGCTTTGCTCCGTTGGAGGGCGTCCTGCCTTCCCCTGCCTTCAATATCATAGGACTATGGTACCACATTTCCTTTTTACAAAGAGGAAGGACAGTGTCAGCCCAACTTTAATCGCAATCCCATATAATCTGCTTCTTTTACTAATTCTGCCATGCATAAGCTCATGTTCTCCCAGCTGCTTGTGTCTCCTCCCACTCTTGCCTTTTTCTTGTTTCTTTCATTTTCCAATCCTAGGAGAGCCTCCACCTTTCTATTCTTCAAGCCACTCCTCGGTCTTTTCAGTCCCTCAGCAAGATCTTCTTCTTTGCAGAAGCCTTTCTTTAACCACAAACTAACCCAAATGACCTTTGTTAGGTCCAAATGTCTTTTATTGATAATATATTTTGGAATGTTTATGAAGCTGGGACCTGAATCAAAATCTTTGGAGCTGTCCAAAATATGAAGGATAGTTTCCTTCTGATCTTGTCTTGGCTGATTACAAGCTAAAGGCACTGTGTGTGATTCACACAAGGATGGTTGCACTTGGTGACTGACCATCAAGAGAAGCATGGAACGAATGCAAAGTCAGCACAGAGCAAATGTGATGGAACTGGCAGTCACATCACTTCACATCGACACAAAAATATTGGATTAGGTTCAGCCTGAAATATTTAAGCTGAATTCCTGCCGAGATCAAAACGAGTCCCACTTGTCACAACCAACTTCCTGCACTGATTTCAACTGCGCCGAGGCACGAGTGCTCGGTCTGCAAGCAGCCCATTGTGCTTACGTGGAGGCAGCCCCATGCCACACAAGTCCAGCTGCATCTCAACAAGCCGAACACTCAGTGACTGATGAACCAAGCAATGCATGTCCTTGAGGACCTGAGGCCTAATGGTGGAAGTTCTCTTACCTGCATGGCTCTGCATTCTCCTAAGCTCTGCAAACAAAAGAGAAAATTGGTCAATTGCACACAACAGTGAAACAGAAAGAACTGCTGTGGAACAATTGAGCAGTGCTAAGCCATTTTAGAATTGGTACCACGCAACACACACTAAAGCACTGTCCTGCACAAAACAAGGACTGTCTCATCAAACACATTCTGACTTACCCAGCTCATTTCTGTGGACATCTGAAATGCATGGAAACACATTTCAATTAGAGGAGTCAGGGTTGAGAGAGAGGGTTCCATCCTGTCTGATACCCCCCTTCTGTCTTATTGAAATCAGTGTGAAAAATCAGTCCAATTTACTTGTTCTATGGACTGAATAGAAAACTAAGTCCCGCTCACTTAGTTTGGATCCCACCCCCGGATGTTTCTGTTAAGGATAGCCCTATGGGAGTGTAGCTAGAAAAGGAGAAACTTCCAGGGTGGGGGATGTTTCTTTTTAAACTGTCCTCTACCACAGTAGACATCATTATTGCACTCTTATTCTTCATCCATTAATTCTATCCCTATTCCCCTCCATAAAACCGTATATCAAGTCTTGACTTACCCAAACATGTTTGTAGATCAGCAACACCTAAATAACAATGACTTGAATTAGCAAGACAAGAATTAGGAGGAGAAGTCAAGAGAAATAATGAATGACTAAGCCTAGAGATGTGCTCAATTCATGTAACAATAAGAAAATCAAACCTGGCCATGTGAAGAGTTCCATGCACACTCCAGCATATTGCCAGTGGTGCCCATGCCAAGTGGGATGGTGGACCTGAAGGTTTGGTCACCATAGATGGAGCCAAGAGGTCACCATGGGGAGAACCAACTCTCCTCCGAATAACACAGAAAATGTCATGTGCATCTGCGTCACTAAGCAAGCCCCACACTGTGAATGCAGGTGCATTTCTTAAAAAGACTGCTTTAAGGAGCCTGCAAAGCAAGGCCCACGTCAAGGTAAGTTGGCAGGTTGCGATTGCAATTCAGGCAAAGGTCAGGCATCATGTGATGAGCTATTATGTGAAAGGACACTCACCTGCTCTTCTTGTGTCTTGCTCAGTGTCTGCAATAATAAACAAGCAAGAGTGTTTCCATCAGATTCGTTAGCATTAATCAAAACAAACAAGAAGCCCATCTCAGGTATGTTTTGCGAAAGGCTCCTTGTCTGTTGTTAAAGGCAGCAGAGTTCAAAGCTAAGTACAGGTCAATACATTTTCATTTTTCAGTGCATTTGTAACTGATGGAAATGTTCTTCTCATGTGATCAAGGCAAAATTCCAGCTAGAAGCTCACACTGTTCTGCTGGAGCTGTTTCCATTATTGGAACTGCTGCTTCTGAAATCTTGCAGTCCCTGCTGTCCCACACATTGTGGGATGCATGGTAAAAAGAAGTATGACCTGCATATTCTTCCTTTCTCTGTATTCTGCCTTGCTTTTCAGGTACATAAAAATGGTTGCATTACCCCCCCCATTTTCTTTTCTGTCAGCTAAATGCAAGAAGGTCCTTTCATCTTTTGTGCTTATGGTTTATGACATGCTGGATGTCCCTGCTCTACCTGCTCTCCAAATGTTTGACATCACTGAGAAATGCCTGGAAATAGAAATATCTCTTGAAATTGTGCCATTTCCATTGAAAGAGTCTCTAGGAACGGAACTTCGTAACAATATGGATAAAATGACTGGACAGGTGAGGATGTACTGATTAGATCCTGAAAAAGATTGTGCAAAAAATCCAGCAGATATATAAGGAGTGATAGGGAAGTGAGCCAATTCCAGTTCTGACTTACCTATTGCAACTTTTAGATCCTCGCACTCTGAAACAGTGATAGTAAAATGATTTCATAGAGAAACACATACAAATAAATCTTCTGTAACTGGCCATACCCACCCTTTACCTAACAGTAGGTCTGATGGATTAAAAAGTGTCTTACATTGAAATAGCTTATGCATGGCAAGGAAAGAAATCTTTTTGTACAGTCTTGCTAAAGTTAGTGCCATGTGATAGGCAAGATGCAGTATCACACTTGCTGGAGGAGAGCTTTGCAAATACCTTGGACCAATGGAAAGATGACCAAGTGGGTTCTAGATCAAACCAAGCCAAAGCTTTCCTAAAAGCAAAAGTCACAACACTGACATTCTCCTACTATGGCCAAAGCATGGGAATGCCAGAGTCTCTGGCTGCAACAGTCTTCCAGTCACAAGCCCTTGGGTACCAGTATTAACTGAGCTGGGTATGCCAACACATGATCAGATGGCAAAGCCAGTGATATTTACTGTGTGTATGTGCACATGTGTGCATGTGTGTGTGTGTGTTGGAAAGAGCACCTCTTATTGCCACCTGCAGAGCCTCCCTTGGAATAGCCACCCCAAGAAGACCCTCCAAGAATCATCACAGTGAATGCTGACATTTATTGATATTTCTAACTGTATTCTGTTCTCCTGGTGTTATAAGTGGCTTCTCTCAAAGTTACCCTGATACAGTGGAGTACATAGTAGTAAACAGATAAAAACACAAATAAATTGAATTGTCTTATTGAAAATGTGCACATCTTTCTTTAAAATAGATACTACCTGTTTCTAGTTTCCAGTATTATGACTAGGTTCTCTAAGAAGTATACTGATAGGGTAGAGTATATAGCATATAGTGTAAAGTAACGTAAAGTAACGTAAAGTAAAAAGTAAAATATTGAACTGTTGTATCGAAGATGTGCACATCTTTCTTTAAAATAGATATTACCTGTTTCTAGTTTCTTCTTCTGGTTCTCTGAAAACAAAAATTGTATTGCTACATTATTGCTTGACTTATGGAACATTTTAGGGTGGAACAATACACTGCCTTAAATGTGCCTTGCCACAAGCAGGAGTTGTGTACTTAATTCCACCACCCAATTTCAGGATGGGAGCTGAAATACACAGAGAGCTGCAGTGCACATCAGGAAATAGCTAAGTTGCACCAGCTGTTCCAGACACCTCGGGGGGGGGGGGGAGTGCATGACTGCTGGTTTTGGGAGGAGCAGGGCACTTAAAGTGATGTGCACATCTCAGGGGGACAGTAAGCACATCTGGATAGTGCAAATCCCAGCTGCAAGTGGCAGGAAGTTTGTGGAGGCACAATCAATCTCGAGAATCCACATCTTCCTGAATTATGGTTTTCCAAGCAGCTTTAATGTTGCATTAGAATAAAGATGGAGAAAGAGATAAGGTGAATGAGAATTTCAGCCATCGAGCATACAATACTTGGGGGTCGTGGGCCTTGCATTCCTCCCACTGTGCATTCAGGCACTGCTGCAACATGCAAAAAGTGAGTGCTGGTAGGCAAAGCTGGGTTAAATTTGCTTTTTGGTTCCTGGAATAGATGTGCTACTTACCTTTCAGTGAAGAAAAAACAGCAGAATAGGGTTTACATATTACTGGGTGTGGTCCAATTAGTTCAATTAAAGGTTAACATCTGAATGTTGATTCAAAATGTTTCTGAATATGAGCCCTCCTCTGCCCCACAAAAACATACAAAAAAAAAAAAAAAAAACATGGTTTTTGGAAGCCACCCCATCAGAGGAAGGGGGATGCATAAATTAAATAAGTTCTTAGCAAAAAAGAAAAATGCATCCAAGCATGGTTTAATCAATGAGAGAAGAATACACCCATTTCAAAGATGTGCACAATTGATATATTCTCCCCCAGTTAGAAAAACAATCAGGAAAGGGTCCGTAGATTTTTGTGCAAAAAGGAAAAATGAACATGAATCTGAACAAGTTTTGATTTGAAGAACTCTGATGAGCTTCAAATGAACACACATTCCTAAGAATGGCTACTTTACCACTTTCCCATATACAGTGGCTAGGTAGCCCATAGTGGAACACCAAGTTACCTTAGTTTGGAGAGGAGTAGTGGGGTTTAATTGAAAGGGAAGGAAGACTGTTTGAAGATTATCATATTTTGAGGTATAATATTTAGTCTAAAAATGGGGAGTGCCCACTTGAAACCAGAGCATGCTGGATATGTTGTTTAGAGATGCATGCCTCTCCTGAAATTTGTTAATATTACAACTACAAACAAAAGTAAATGCAGACATTCCAGGGATTCAGTTTGTGATAGCTTTGACCTTTGTCCCATTATATTACAAAGAATGCCCTTTTCCTATACAAAGTATTTTCACATAAGTCAACTTCAGTTACTCACCAGATTTAGAAACATTCTGATGACTCTCTGAAACAAAGAATGATATTAATGAAAATGATGATGGCAACAACAGTGCCAGTAATGTGAGGCCTATGGGTTAGCTTGGTAAAAATTCTAGGAGGTGGTCAACAGGAAGTCACAAGGTTCTCAGCTCCAGGGAAAGCACCTGGAGAAGGACAGGCCAATTCCACTTCATTTTCAGGAGCTGCCACTTAGCCTGTTGGTGCAATTTACCTTGATGTCTTAGAAAGTCTGAATAAGTCAAGATGGCTTCTCTCAAGTAGTTTATCAAGTGCTTGATGGGTTTAGGAAAATTATATTGGTTTATTTATTTTTCTGCATCCAGCAGCACAACTTCCCTTATTTGTATAAATGTAGCCAAAAGAAAAGGGGTCAGTTATATTTCATGCACACAGTTCCCTGAGTGATACATAAGATAAAAACAATAAATTTAAAGTACTTACGTCTAATTTTAAACACTGCAAAACCAGCAAGGCAGATGAAAATCAGTAAAATGATTGTGAAGGGTGCAATCCAAGGGGAAGTAGTAGGATAAAAAACCTCTGAAAGACACATTAAAATCTCAGTCACATTCTTTTATTGCTCTTGAAAAATAGTCAAGCTGCAAGGCAAATCTCACCAAAATCCCCCCAGAATCACAGGGGTTGACTTGGTCATACATTCTCATTGTCCCAAATCCTCCTGAATTTCTCCATATGAGGAGAGACGAACAGAACTAAGCCAGATCTTAAGATTTCAAGATGGCTTCGGAACGAGACGGCTGTGATTAATGGAGTTTCTGTTATCAAACCAGTATTGCTCGGCAGTGAGTCGTGGGAGGCTCATCTAAGCTCTGTCAGAGCGAAGACAGATTGCCTGGTCATTCTTCTGTTCGGTGTGGGAAGGCAGTCCCATATCTACTGGGAGAAATTCCTGAATTTCTCAACCGGGCAACACAGGGTTTTCTTTTTTTTTAGCCCCTACAAGTTCTCAAAATCTTATGGAATTAACTTAGGATTTTTATTAGCTAGATAAGCATCGGAACTGCTGGGTAAATATTTTTATTTTTATTTCTTTTTTGCAATACTACCCATGGAAAAGCTGCATCTGTTTCTAATTGGCATACAGAAAAAAAGAAAAAGCCTCCTGATATCTAAGCTGCAACTGACATGGAGAGTGTTGAGGCTTTTGAAGCCGAAGGAAAAGATTTTTTCCTCTAACCTCTCTAAGGGCAAAGAATTAAAATAAATAATTACTGTGGAATTAAGTGATAGAAGGTTAAAACTTAGAGCAATCATTTTGGATATCTGTTTGGACTTCTGCCAAGACTAACTGGACACTCGCCAGGACATTTTTCATATTGTGTGGTGTTTCCTCTCTAATGTGATGACTGTTTGGGTGAGCATTCCTATTTTCCTTTCATAATACTACTTGTGGAAAAACTATATCTGTTGTTAATTGGCATACAGAAGGAAAAAAAAAAGACCCTTTGATGGAAGGAGGAACTCTCCCCCCACAGTGTTTTAAGCAGTAAATGATATGGAGAGAGGATTTAAAGTTTACATGGGAGAGAGATTTTGAAGTGTGTGTGAAAGTTGGGACTGACGAAAAAAAGGACTTTGTTTCTTTTCTGATCTCCCCAAGAGTGAAGAATTAAAATAATAACTATTGTGGAATTAAGTGATAGAAGGATATAATTTGCCTGTCAAGTGGCCATTTTCTTCCCTCCATTTCTGGGACCCCTGCCAAAGTATTTGGCAATTTGCCAACCTTCTGTCTGCAAGTGATCTAGAGGAAAAAGAAGTGGTAGTTGGCCTTTGCTGCCATCCTGTGGCTATTGGAATTATTACAATGATGGAAGAGCTAAAGAGAATACTCCTGGCAATACAGGAATCTTTAACAGCTTTACAAATATCCCAAGAGGTGATGTTGATAAAACAGGAATTTTTTTCAATTGAACAAAAAAAGCGCTTTGATAAACTTGATGCTTCTTTTAAGGAGGTTTTGGTTGATGTGCAATCTAAAACTGAACAGAATATTCAAAAAACACAATGAGTATATGAAAAACTTGAAACAGTGGATAAAGAAATAAAATCTGTAAAACCAATAAATAAGCTATCATGGGATTTATTGGTTATATTAAAAAAAGAGAAACAATTTTGGCCATTAAAAAAGGAATATTTTTTTCTCAAGGATGGATGGATCTGGAACTAACTACATATGACTCTGAGGAAGAAGAGTCAGTGAACATTGGTTTGCAGCAAGAAACACAGCCATTGGGAATAAATACTGACCTACAACAAATGCTACATTTATTGAAAATAAAGCAAGAAATATTGAAATACAGACATTGAAGAGCGTTGATTTTCAACAAGTACCATTAACTGGAGAAAGATGGGGCAGAGGTGTAAAAAAGAAATGAGAGAATTGGTTATCTTAAAAAGGAATGATATAAATGGGTTGGCATGCTTATTGTGGTATAGAAAGGCTAAGTTATATGATTTCAGTGTGGAAGCTTCTCTACATTTAAATGCATTGAATTATGAAGAGATTATAAGATATGATCTAAACTGAACTAAGAAAGATAAGAATAGGAGTTGAGTTTTTTCTTGGTTGGTGACATAAGGAAAAATAAGAGTTTTTTTTTCTTTTTTAATCTTAAAAATGAACGACCAAAAGCTAAGTTACATGACTCCTTTGTCCTTGAGTTACTACTAGAAAATGATTATTATTGGTGTAGGAGAAGCTGTACTAAGTGGATTCTTTTTTATAAGTGAGATATATTAAAGAGTGTAAGGAGCTGGACTCTTATAAGGAGTTAATTGCATGTGACTAAGTGATGTGTAAGCTAGATGAAACTTTGGTAAATTAGCTCAAAGAAAATTTGTTTAAAAGATATTATAGGTAATTGTTGTCAAATAGATTAGCTAAGATGTCTTTAAAGATGATAAATGGATGTTAGATATGTGAACATAACCTGGGTAAAAAGTTTTTAGCTCTTTTTTAAACTTGGAACTTTTCTTCTTTTTCATTTTCCTTTTTAGTAGATATTGGATTGGAATACTAGTAGACAAGAAATGTATTTGATTGTATTTGTAACTATTGTAGTGAGGAGTCTATGTGTCTAGCATTAGAAAAATGAAAAGATCTTGAATTGTGTGGAGATGGTGAGATTGAAGCTACTACTGAAGAAGAAAGAAGATACTGACTTTCATCAAATTTGGAGATTCTTTCTTTTAATATTGGTCAAGAAAGACGGGACTTTATAAGAAATGGATGGACTGATCTTACCACTGAAGGAGAAAGAAGATAGTGACTTCTATCAAATATGGAACCTCTTTTTTTTTATTGGCTGGAGAAACGGGACTTGAGTTAGATCTAAAAATGTTTTTAAGTTATCATAAATGGATCTGAATATGATTACAGAATGTTAAAAGATATGTAGTAAGGGGCTGACCCAGTAGTTCCGATGTTTGTGATGACTGATGTTTTTAGTATTGGTTTAAAATTTTTATTAAAAAATTATTAGGTTCCAGTCACCTAAACAAAAGAACTGGATCACTTATCACACATCTAGAACCTTGTTTTCTGTATATTGCACACTTATATAAAGTCTATCATATAGAAAAGAGTTCTACTGAACATGTGCAGAAAATATTTCAATAAAAATTAAATAAGCAACAGTTACTGCTTCTCAGTTAAGGGGAAATAGCTTACAAATGTAAATGGGGACTTTCAGGTATGTTTGAAAACAGTGACCATCACTCACACCACTATCACTAGAAGATACCTACAAGCGGAGATGCAGCTGTTCATGAGGAAAATAATAACCCGAACATGGGTTATTGTGTTTTCTGAACCTTGTTATATTGACTGATGGGGGCACAAAAATGGCACAACTCCCCACTAGTGGTAAGGAGAAACATCTGAATGGGAAGAAGTGGGAGAAAGTGGCAAGAGAAGGTGGGGGATGTACAGCTGGGAGCATCTTCTCAAAGTCCAGGCTAAGGAAGAAGCTTTCAAAGAAGTGGACTTCTTAGTGAGGTTGAATCCACCAATACATTTATATTTTGCCTGCGGTCTTCATTTTGTAGCTGGTTCCTGGCAAGGAAGACATTGTCTTCAGTAAAACATGAGTGCCAGACATGAGAAGTCTGAAGGAGCAAGCTTCTATACTCAAAGTTGAAGGAAGGAAGAAAAGATTATCCTGTATAGAAAGACTGAATGCCCCTTTGATGCTGCTGTGCAATATACAAAAATACTTAAGATGGAGGAAGGGGAAGAGGAAGAGGAGGAAGGAAATGGCACACTAGGCTTTGTTTCTACTCACCAGCAATCATGATTCTGGATTCACTCTCTTGCTGTAACACACTGCTGAAGATTTTGCAAGAGACTTCACTGGCAGTCCCTGGTTCTATTGTAATGGAACTGAAAACACTGAAGGTACCAGCTGCATTCTCAGTGCTTGTAGTGATTTCCTTCTCTGTACGGTTTTTCCCCTTACTGCTCAGCCACAGAGCCTGGGGCTTTGGATACCAGCCCTCAGAGGCACAAGTGAGTCCAATTCCTTGGCCCTTGTAATCCTTCAGGGTAATGGTGGGATCTACTCCTTTTGCTGCAAAAGAAAGACACATATTTAGTTTGCACAGTAAGAACAGAGCAATACTCAGTGATCCTCTTGAGGTTAAACACTGGCAATGGAACACTGCTTGTCAGTTCTGCCAGGCTACATTTTGTGCATAGTTGCAATTCTAAAAGGCTGCATGTCACATCACATTTTGATAATGCCGGAGGGTGGCACCTGCAAATACTCCTCATAGATTCAAAGATACAGAGGGGTCTTTGAATTCAGTAAAACATGCCCATAATGAATGAATGGCTTGGCCAATTGTCTTGTCAACTTTCCAGACATGCCTGCACTTAAGGATGCAATCCCAGGCCCTCTTAGATAGAAACAACTCCCATGCTGGCCAGGGAATGTTGGGAATTGTGGGACATATTTTTGAATCAACAGTCAGAAGATTGGGCCCAAGACATCTTTTAAACCAGCATATGTGACATGATATTAAAAGAGTAATAAAAGAGGTAACATTTTTTTAAGATACAGAGAGCAGAAAGAAGGCAGAATGATATGCAAAGTACCATAGTAGGAAAGAAACTGAAGTGCTTCTGGAACCTCAACCTTAATTTTCATTGTGGGATCAATATTGGCTCCTTTACCCATTTTATTATTTCAAGAAAGGGAGGATAATAGAAAGAACAAGTGGGCAATAAAAATGGGTAAGTACAACATTCTTACCCATTTAATTCTTTCACTCTTTCTCTGCCTTTTCATTTGTTACTTTTTAATCCACCATAAAGTTGCTCTGTGGTACAGGAGAAATGTGAAAATACACACATTTTCATTGCTATTCATAGAATCATAGAAGAGTGGAGCTGGAAGGGGCCAGTAGACCATTTCTTCCAAACCCCTCCCAATTAAACCATCCCTGTCAGAAAATTTTCCTGATATCTAGCTGGAATCTAGCTTCCTGTAACTTAAGTCCTGCATTCTGGGATGATGGAGAAGAGATCCTGTACTTGTAGAGTGCTATCGTATCTCCTGTCAGTCTTCTTTTCTTGAGGCTAAACATGCCCAATTCTCTCAGTCTCTCATCTCAGGTCTTTGGTTCCATTCCTGTATCATCTCTTTTGCCCTCCTCTGAACCCTTTCAAGTTTGTCTGCCTGTTTCTTCAAATGCTGAGTAAAGGGAAACTAATACTTCATATGATGCCATGATACTCAGATGATTCTACGCTTTCCTCCCTCTTATGAAAAACCATAAGCATGCTCAGAAAGCATGGTAAGGCCCTGGTAGATAACACCATGTCGAGCACTCTCAAACTCTCTTTAGTGAGGTCTCATGAACACTTAACAAAACCTCATGTTAAGAAAGTCTCCATGGCATGCTTAACAGAGGAAGACGATAGCACCCCGCACAGGTGACCTTTCAGTTCCAATGTCACAAAGCTGAATTATTTTGAAACAACACAATAGCAGTTTACCTATCAAATGCAGCTCTATGACCACCTCATCAAGCCACTTTTCAGTGGAGACTGTGCAGATGTATTTTCCTTGGTCAGGCAGAACGATGTGCTTCAGCTTCAGGGACATATTCCCTCTCTTATGCTCATGATTGAAGAGCTGTATTCGACCCTTATAGCTCTCATTCTCTGTTTCCTTCTTGATTTTTCCATCATAGGATATCAGTTCAATTTTTTTTGAGGGGGTAGAAAATGTCCACTGGATCTTGAAGTTAGTGCTCTCAGGTATTCTTCCATTTCCGAGCTGACATGGCAGGATCGTGTCCTCTCCAAAAGTAGCAATGACAGGTCTCCTTGGTTGAATGATACTGAAATGAACTTTAAAGACAATCACACTTCATCTAAGGCAAATGCATTGATTATGTGCAATTTGTAGTCAATCTCCTCCCAAATTTACCAATTTACAATTTCTGTCTTTATCTTGAAATCTGACAATCCAGAATGCTCAAGCAGAGGATTTTTTCCAGATGTCAGTAAAAACACGCAGAAGAAGGATTGCTTCCATGATATTTAAATACTGAAATGTAAATAGATGTATATGAGATTACTTTGATACACAGGTAAACTTGGGAAGCAATATTCCTCATAAGAAGGAGCTTGTTCTCCAGATTTCCTTGAAAGGTTTGGAACATTTTGCTGGAGTTTAGAGGGACCTAGCCCTGGTTTTGCATTTGCAATAACATATGCAGCACTTAGAAAGGAAAGGGACAGTTTATTCATCAGAAAAACAGAGCAGGCATGTGGTCCAGACAGCAAATATCCCCATTACATCTCAGACTTACTCTATATTTCTAAGGAGACAAAGTGCTTCCTATCTAACATAGAGAAACACTAACAGAAGTGTGTGTGTGTATGTGTGAACATATCCGTAGAGATTGTGTGTCCAGAATTCTTGAGGGGAGAATGGGAAGAGAGAGAGTCCTTTTTTAAGGCCCTGATGTTTATACCATGTTTCTCTGAGCATGTGATTTATGGGAAAGATGAGCTTCCCAAACTTATGCTAATTTTTGAAATGAGGTTTTATCTTGATGATATTGTTTCTCTGAGTAAGAGGTGAGTTCCCTGCCTGCGTTGACTAGGTGCTATAAATGAGGTGATTTCCAGGTGTCTCAGGACAATGGGTCATCTTCCTTGCAGGGTTGTTTTGCCTTATCTCCTTCAATTGGAAATGCCTGACCTCTTGTCTACAAGAAGTCCAGCTTTCATTTCTGCTTTCACACAGGGTAGCCTAGGATATGAGGTCCTTCTTCCTGAATACAAGTCTCCCCAACATGATCCATGTCCTGAAAAGCCCATTCTGCCCTGGGGTTTATGGCTATGATGCTAATATTGATGTACGCATTTCAGCTTTTGTATATGGATAGTGTCAGTTGCTAGTTGGGTACTTGTTACATGTAATGGTCGCTCCAGTAGCATACGCTTCATGTGGTCTCTTCCAGGAAAGAGACCCATCTGGGACTTGAGTCACTGACAGCCATCCAGGTCCAACTGGAACTAACCATGACATAGGATACCATGGTATCCATGAGGGAAGAGTACTAATTGGGGAAGCTATGTCAGTGAGGCTCCTTATCTAGTGCAGATTTTATTCTGAGCATTATTATCACTAAGCATGGTACAGAACACCATTCCAAAATTAGGTTCATCACTGCATAGCACCATGGTCAGTTCCTATGAAACTCAGGATAAAAGCTGCAATAAGTCACCAGTCTCTCCTCCATATTATATGCAGATTTCTAAATAATACATCACTTAAGGGCAAAGTTCTTAACAGTTGCAATATCTCAGCATTTTGGAGCTTGGGTGAACATGGAAAGACTTTAATAAGACATGATGAGTCAAAGGTTCTTTCTTTCTTGCTTGCTTGCTTGCTTTCTGTTAAGTGAACTGGATAATATTTTGAGAAGACCATGTCAATCATATGCCTCAATAGACATCAATCATATGCCTTCAAGAAGCCAATACTGTTTGGAAGATAACATCTTAAATCTCAACATTGATTTTGAGAGGAGTTTTTTTTGTGTGGAGAAAGAAAAGTGGGGGAAAGGGGTTTTGCTTTAGGACTTTTTCAGGTAAAAAAGTCCTAAAGCAATTGAAAAAAGCAAGACAGGGATAGAAAAGGCAGGTCTGGGGGAGGGGAAGGGGAGGCTAGCTTGAATGAATGATCCTACCTAGAAAATCATGCAGTTGGGTAAGTTATATGGTTAGAATCATTTTACAGTATTTAACAGACCCCTCTTTGTTTTGATGAATGGATTCTTTTCACTGTTTCTAAAGAAGAGTGCACATGTAATGAATGTGCACAGCTTTATTTGGTTGCCTAGGCACCTTCACAAAAAGTCACCCCTCTCCCTGTATAATCTTTGCTCCTGGCAGAAACTCTTCCACCAATCCGAATGTGGAATTTTGCAACATCATAGAAGGCTGGGACAAAAGATGTTTACCGGCATTTATCACCTGGGAGAACTGCAGGACCAACACGATGCAAACATAAGTGGGTGAAGAACACATTGAACAGAAGATAAGCATACAGGTCTTCCTAGAAGGCTCTTCCTATCCCTTGAGAATTGGAAAAATAAGCAGCAATAAGAATTCAACAAGGAGCAGGTGGCACTCACTGCAAAGGTTTCAGGAGCACTGAGTTCAATAAGGGAGTGGTTTGGGGCAACAGACCTCATTCCCATAAAAAAAAATTCCATTGGCATTTACAGATCACATTATTGCTATTCTTACACCCAGTCGCTGTTAAGCTTTACATTTCCTAGTTGCTGTACAGAGAGTGTAAAATGATGCAGACTTTGCCTGCCGAATTAGTCCAAATGACAGGATAAAAATGAATAGGAGGTGGTGGGAAAGGGGAGACAAAACATTTGGTTGGCAGTGATGCAAAATATACACAAGTCAGGCCTTAGTAGTTATTGTTGCTGTGATTTTTCAAAATGCTGTTTGATCTCAGAACTGCCCCTTCCCACAAAGTCACCATGGATCCCTGGAAAATTTGGCTTCCTTATCTGGACAAGTGGGCAGTCAGCAACCCCTGCCTCTTTCTGATTGATTTCCTGGAGAATAAACTTGCCCACAACTTTCACAAACATTTCTTCCTGTATTGTAGAGGATGAAACCTTTGATGCTATATAATGGGAGTTGAAAAGAAATGCCATTTCATACCCATTACAAATCATACATATTTCTAGGAATTATTTCAGCTAAAAGAAATATGTCATATTAAAACACACAACCTCCCTTCCTCCCACCCCCATGGTTAGTCTGTTTTTCCTACTGTACTCACTGAAATCCACCAAGTATTCCCATTGTTCTGGCTTGAGTCTTACTTCATCAAACCATTAAAAATATCCTCAATATATTTAATTGCATGTCCTCAACTGGTTGTGTTTGTGTGTGTGGAGGGGAGTCTCAACAAAACCACTAACAGAATGCGAGAAATATTTTGCTATATTGAATAAAATCTTAACTATTTCTTAAAATAGTTTCCTACCTTCCATGCGAACTACAAGGCACCCTCCAGAGCAGCTGCAGATCATTGCCCCTTTTTGTGGACTTTTGCCCTTTCAGAGAAATTACATACTTACGTTTTCCATTTCTAAGTAAGATAAGGAGGCACTGCAATATATTCTGAAGTCCATTGTCCTATATCTCATAGCTCTTTCCTAGAAGAACAAAGTCCACAGCAACTTTACTTTGATATACACAAATACACCGACGAACCTCCATGCTATATGGATTATGTGTAAGCAATTAAAAGACTCATTAAAACAAAAATAAGTAGCATGGGGTGGTCCCAGCACATGCCAGTCGGAGCTTCTCTCCAAGATGTAAAAACAGTCTTAGGACTGAGGGATTTTCTTAGAACTGAAGAAGTAGAGGAGTTAACCTATTTCTCATCTGCTTAAGCTCAACCCTCTCTTCTCCTTCCATGTCCCAGGAAGGCTGGCTACATTCCTAAAAAATATTCATGCATGGTAGCAGTAGTTACCTGGAGCATGGAATGTCGCTTCAATTGCACGGACCCATGGAGGGCTTGCATGGCATCAGAAGCCTTTGGCTCAATGAGCCACACACAGTCCTAATGTGCCCCAGGGGCCATGATGAGCCTGACAGAAGACTGGGGGCATCATGGCTCCAAAGTCACCTCTCTCCTCCTCCCTCAGTTCTCCTGCAGGTATCCAAGTGGACACTACAGGGAACTTTATTGCTGCACTTGGGCTAGCCATGGTTTGCTTTTCTTAAAAAGCAAAACCCTTGTCGGTTTGGGTAACCCTGAAGCATTTTGGAGAGATTTAACCATCTTGATTCCCCTTGTGGTTTACTTATGTAGGAGAAATACCCATATAAACACACAGAGAAAGGATAGAATGTGGTATACACCCAACATATTACAACCAGCCACAGCTATGTTGTGGTTGTGCCTACTACACTTATTTAAAAGCCAAATCTGCTCAAAGGACCCTTGACTTGAAGCATAAACAGTCCTAAATTAGATGGACTAATGGCATGCGGCAGTTTCTTCTCATGCCTAATATGGATTCTATTGATTCGTATCTCTTGCCAAATCAAAATTCTATCCACCCAATTAATTATGGGCTTCAGTCTTGATTGACTGTAAGGAGAAAAAGAAAACTGGGCCATGTCTACAATATGGGGCATAATCCTAACCCTGTGTCCTCAATGCACAGAAGTCTCTAGAAGTGGCCACTAATGTCAACAACTGTGCCTCCTGCTGGGTATTCCCTCCTCCTCTTGGAAAATAGTCCAAAAGTGATGCGGAGGAAAACAAGATAGTGGCTCTTTGTATACTCACTTTCTGAAATGGATAGTATTCAATTGAAGAATGAGGGCATTCCTCATTTCTTGGGTGGGAGTTGTTTGAAAGCATTTCTTGTTTAAAACTGAAGGTAGGTTTCCATATGTTTTTACATGTGATGATATCCAGTGGACTGAAAATATGCTTGGGCATGCTTAGTAGCATTTTCCTCTCCTGTGTCCAACTCATCCATTACAGTTGATTTCAATTCTGGGAGAGAGATGAACAACCCGGCATTTTTGATACAGTAGTACTACCTGAGAAAGCTATTTGGTGGGTACTAGCTGAGTAGCTATTTGGAGGTTCCTTTGGGCAAGGGAGAGCTGGTCCAAGTATGTGCCATGTAGCTTATATCTCTATCAATGGAAGACTCCAATCCACCAGTGCTGAACCGGTGCTTGGCCGAGGTAATGGAATGGATGAGGGCCAATAAACTGAAACTCAATCCAGACAAGATGGAGGTCCTGTTGGTTAGCGGGTCGGGCTTCGGAGAGGGTGGATTTGACCTGGTCCTGAATGGTGCAACACTCCCTCTTGGGGACAAGGTCCGCAGCTTGGGAGTACTCCTCAACCCAGAGCTTTCTTTGGAAGCTCAGGTGACAGCGGTGGCGAGGAGCGCCTTCCTTCAGCTTCGGCTGATTAATCAGCTGCGCCCCTACCTGGAGTATGACTGCCTGGCGACGGTGACACACGCGCTGGTGACTTCCCGCCTAGACTTCTGTAACGCGCTTTACGTGGGGCTTCCCCTGAAGATGGTCCGAAAACTTCAATTGGTGCAAAATAGAGCTGCCAGGTTGCTGACGGGGATGGGGCGTTATGCTCACATGACTCCAGTCCTCCGTCAGCTTCACTGGCTTCCCATTGAAGCCTGGGCCCAATTCAAGGTGTTGGTTATGACCTATAAAGCCCTAAAAGGCTTGGGTCCTGGCTACCTGAACGAGTGCTTACGTCCGTATATGCCCGACCGCCCCTTGAGATCTGCGGGAGAGTCCCTTCTCTGGGAACCCTCCATGAAAGAAATTAGGAGAGTAAGTACTCGGAGGAGGGCTTTCTCTGCGGTGGCGCCCAACCTATGGAATTCACTCCCCAAAGAGGTCCGCCTGGCACTGTCGTTACTGGTTTTTCGGTGCCAGGTAAAGACCTTTTTATTTAAACATCATTTTAATTGTTAAAATATATGATCTGGCCAGGGCAACAACTTCTTCTTCCTTCTCTTTTCTCCACCTATATTCTTTATTTACTTATTTTATACTGTTAATTTTAATTTTATATTATTATGTTTGTATCTCAGTGTATTTTTTGTATTTAGTGGTAATTTATTATGTTCTATTGTATTTCAATGTATTTTATTGTGTTGTAAACTGCCCCGAGGCTTCGGCAAGGGGCGGCATAGAAATGTTGTAATAATAATAATAATAATAATAATAATAATAATAATAATAATAATAATATACTTATTTTGAGTTCCTAATTTTGGTGACTGCATAAGAACTGGCATGTGGAAGTACTGGAACTGCAAAAGCCGGAATGGAGAACTTGTCCAATTCTTCCTCAATCCAATATTTCTCATTAACTGAGATTTGGACTTCTGAGGTAACTTGTAGCTAACCTTCCTCAATGGGCAAAGCTGCTGTGTCCCTTGAAGCAGCTACAAATCATTGAATGGACAAACAGTAAGTGATTTTATTCATATTATACAAAGTTATCATCCACAGTGACATTTAGTGTTTGTGCAGCAACTGATTGAAGAAAAGATATCCAAGTAATGGAAAGAACTTGAGAATTTCAAGACCTGAATGCAGGAGAAAGTGAAACCAACTGGTCTGACATCCCCAATTCATGCCTGGACCATTTTCCTGATGTGCAGAAGAGAAGCTTTCACCAAGTCAGGGAGAAGGGTCAAAAGAAACAAAACAGGAAAGGTATCCATGGATTCTATGGATCCTTTTCCCACCATGGGCTTTTGTTGAATGCCTGCAAAGGTAGCTTAATGAGTACAGATGAACAGCACAAATAAGCTGTTGCTCAGGTTTTTCTCTGGGCCATGAGCTCTTCACCTGCTGATCTCTAATGGTGTGACATGAAAGCCAGAAAAAGGTACGGAATTTCTCTCCTCCTCTTTCTCCTTTTCCTCCAAAGTAATTACTGAGGCCTGTGACAGGATGTAACCAAACCTGTTAGTTACAATATTCTCTGGTTGAAATTATTCTTACTGTTATTACTATTACTTTTATTACTATTAAGGTGCTGTATCTGAAGGAAAGGAAAATCTCAGAACTTAGAGAAAGAAAACATCTTCCAAAAATCTTGTAAATCTCTTTTCAAATATTAGTTGTTTGACTTGAAAATGGGCCAAAAAAGATTATTGAGTTTGCTTTGTTTTTCAAAGTGCAGTGTGTTTCTCTTCTTTAGTACTGGAATAATGAGAATCAAGAAAAACTATGTTCTTCATATCAGAAAATTAAGTAATCACTGCTGGATAAGATATATCCAAACATTGATTTTTGTTTTTTTGGGTTTTTCATATAAAATTACAATATAGAAGTGTAGTTAGGTAAGAAGGGAAGAAGGATGAGAAGTATTACCTTAACTCTTAAGATTACAGGGCAGTGATTCATTCCTCTTCTTTCTCATTCCCTCCCCTTTGGCCTGTCCTTTGGGAGCCCAGCTGGCATGGAAAGGATGACACAAGGGAAGTGAAAGAGATCTGAGTTGGATGCCTGGCTCCAGCCTCACTCTTTTTTGGAGGTAAGAGTTGGGGGCTGGGACTCCAACATATGCTGTGCCTCCCCAACAAAGTAATGAGGCCAGTGCTTCACACACGTAGCACTGGGAAAATATTGAGGGAGAAATGGATCTTGATGGATTTCCCCATCTCTAATGGGTTAGGGGTGGGTAAGAGAGATCTGGTCTTTGGGAAGAATGGCATACATCTTATACAATAGGGTGCAGCTGACTGCTTTGCCTTCCTCCTGAAAGAGCAGGTGGCAGAACTAACCTGCTGCAAGTTACCAACTTCCATAGATGAAGAAATACTTGTCCATGACATGGAAGTCAATGAATGAGTTCCAGTGAACACAAGTCATGACTGAATACCACCGAAGTCCATCAGTTTTAAATTAATCCCAGTTCTGTTGCTTTCTATTGGGCTTTTTAAGGCAGCAAAAGATGTCTCAAAAATGTGTGTCTGGCACAGGAAGGCAAGGCAACTCAGTAAATCTGGCAGAAATGTCAATTTTGCATGTGATTTGAGGGTTTGTTTTCTCATTTCTGCTTCCTCTGAGGTATGCCTGAACAGTTTCATTTCATTAATTTTATTTCTACACCACTCAATAGCCAAAGCAGCATGTGTAGGTAACAACGTTTTATACGTCTCCGTGAAATACAACAGGGCAATGTAATAAATTGCATACCCCTTAAATACAATATTAAAAAGTATTTTTTTAAAAGTATCTAAGTAGCAGCTACAAATTCAGGGATCTTTCCTCCAAGGTAGGGCAATGCCAGCCTTGCTTTTAAAGTTAGGAGGTGGGGAGCAGGTGGTTTAGCTCACTCTGGATGGGACAGCATCCCTCTCCTGAAGCAGGTCATTCAGTGATGAAGAAAGCAATTTATCCTTTCAACTGTGTAATTTTCTGAAAAGATGGCCAGGAAATGGCACTTCAGCTATAGAGGAGCAAT